AGTGTCTACGCGAGTGAAGTATGTATTATGAATAATGGCGAGGACGATAACGACGACGATGGATAATAGTCTTATATGCTATCATGTCGACGAGTCTAAACTGTATTGTATTATATTAAGAGAGTCTGTCCATATTAATAATAATAATTATTATTATATTAATTATAATAGCTGTGTTTGAAAACAAAAAATAAATTGTGGTTGAATATGAAGTAGGCTGTGATCAAAAGTAGATGTCCTAAGTATCGTGTCCTCCTTATTATTGTCATCATCATCATCATCATTATATGTATCATGACTCTGAGTGAAATTTTTCACACATACACACACACATACATACACACACACACATTCAAATCATCTACTTCACGGGACAGTCAATCGGCGAATCGACGAGTTTGTTTGCTGGACGATAGCGTGAAATCCCGATTTCTGTACTGATACGAAGATATCATGATCAGTACGCCACTGGATTCCTTTTGAAAAGATAGCCCAGTATACCCGGAGGTTGCGTTTATACGAATTGCGGCGGAAGGAACCATTGTATAATCCAAGATGGCCTCCACCTTGGAGAGGATTATTATTGGCTAATACGAAGCAAGAGGCCCCGCCTTGGCTCACGGCTCGTGACGGGATGATTTATTGGGATTTCTGTCTGTTCGCCCTCCGTTACAACGAACACATCGTGCCTAGCTCGCCTAGATGGTAGGTATGCTTGGGCTTGCGATATTGGATTTCGACATCTCGACAAAGTGCAGCTGCAACCACCTCTCCGGGACGGACGTCTTCATTCCAAGTGTCCACGTGTAGTCCAGCATGCTTCAAGTGTCACAATGTCAAATCTAATATCAGATCATACGGGTTTCATTTCGACCCTTTCAATTACGTATCTCATCAGTATTAAAAAAAAAAATGTTTTATTATATTACGAAATGTGTAAGCACAATTATTTATTATTTTAATTGCGGTATTAAAGTAGGAATATAATGGAATTACCATTTTATAAACGCTCAAACGTATAGACAAGAAGATACTTAATATTTCTTTCATAACATATAATACTTTCATACATAATATTTCTTTCATATCCTTGCATTATGTAGAAAGGTAATCTTTTCTACTCAAGGTATTGCCTATATATAATAAGCGTAAATAACATCAAACTACTTACTAGATTCAAGGTCACTCTTATAATATCTTACTTATATAATAATATAAGTTACACTTTAAGCTACCGTAGTAACAGATCAGTTGCTATTGTACCACTTTCTTCAATAATCAATTAGTACGAAATACGAATATCTAAATATTATACGTATTGGGTAATATATCTTGAGTGCAAAAGTTTTGATGGATTTCGTGATAGAGAAATGTGGATTAAGTGATTTTAGTAGAAACGATTTAGTAGAAACGATTCATCCACATTACCAAGTAATCACCATCGTTTTCTATTATATTTGTTATGTTATATATTTATGTTTGTAAATACTACCATATAACCCAATCAGTTAATCTTTAAGAAGCTTATCAAAACTTTTGCACTCACCCAATAGAATATAAAATTTCCTAGGATGCCCTAAATCTAGTAAGTAATTGGACGTTATTGTCACTTAGTGTGTAGGCGCTTCACAACGCTATATCTGTATCATGTTACTAACCAGTCAGAGTCGAAATGTACTCTTTTATACTAATTTACATCATACCGTTACCCTAATATCTCATGCGTTTACGTATAGAGACGCTGAATACAGATTGATCGATCACATTGATATATACCTACTCGCCAAGCGCTCCATGATGAAATCAACAAAGTTGATAACATCGATCGCGTCTGCACATGCGACGGAAGGTGAGTATCACTAACGGGAATCTCGTAATGTTATCGCATTTCCGAAACTGGGTAATAAATTCAGGTCATGCGAACCGGGCAGTCAGAAGAATTCATCATCGAGTGAGTACAGAGTATTGTGTATGTGCAGTTTAAAGCAACGAAATACACGATGACCTTTGCCAACCTTGTTGTTGCAGGTGCATCCGCGTTGCAAATGCGTGAGACGAGGAAAGAATCTATAGGCAGGACCAGCGGAGAGAAAGAGCAAGATAGAAGGATGGAAGAGCGAAGAACCGGCAGAGTAGAGACCTGGCAAGATAGAGGGGCCGGTGGGAGGATGGCGGTTAGAATTTATGGCCGCTTTATCACTTTACCGGCCTTGCCGCGTCTCCTTTAGCTGTGAGGAGGGCAGGATCTCACGATGAACTTTGGCACTCGACTACGCTGCACTCGACGAGCGGTGAGCCCGTTAACTTTCTTGTTTACTTCTATTTCGCGAGAGATTACAAATATACCTATTTTCTCTCTCTCTCTCTCTCTCTCTCTCTCTCTCTCTCTCTCTCTCTCTCTCTCTCTCTCTTTCTCCCTCTCTCTCTCTCTCTCTCTCTCTCTCCCTCTCTCTCTCTCTCTCTCTCTCATTTCGTTTCGTTTCGTTTTCTTCCATTATTTTTTGACAACTTTACACCACGTTGTATAAAATATATAATAAATGTATATAATTTATGCAATGATTATATAAGTCAGTATGTAATCGCGTCACAAATTTGAAAAGAGTATAAAGTAGAAAGAGAGAAGATCATGTCTATATCAGCTTCCATTTAACTAATTATTTTCTTGATATGCAATACATGATAACCATATACTGCTAGGAACATTAATCCATCAGATGACGCTAATAAAAATGTTATCAGTTGGTAATTGATTACAGTCTGTATCGGTTTATAACCAAATATATGTAACATATAAATGTAAATGTAACGTATGATTAATATATAATACTCATACTATCATTCTTTAATTAATAATGTAACGTAAACATAATAATTTCAAAAATATCACGCAAAAGTCTACTAGCGCCATCTGATGAGCCGATAATTAGAGTCAAGGGTTCCTCAGTTGCGTTGGAGAGGGCCGATCTACAGAGTATCTAATCCCGGTACTCTAGTGAAGAGAGTGCCATTCGTGCGTCTCGCTGGCTTAAATTTATGTCTTCATACATTCGTGGGTTGCGTACACTAGCTCTTTGGGCTGATCGCACGCCCCGTTACACTTACGGCCGTTTAATGGTCGGATTTTAATTCACTCAGTCTCCACCAGAGAGAATAGATTAGGTTTGGGCGGTTAACGGGAAAAGTGGCGCCTATCAAATCCCCACGAATGTCTAGTGTAAACACATTAATAACAAGTCCCTCTCACGAATAACTTATTACACACAGACAATCCGTGCAGGACCTCGTAAAATTTACGTCACACCATCTCTGTCGGCATGACGACTACAACTACATAACGCATAAAGTAACCCCCATTAACAGACCATAAATTCTATCCCCGCAGCATCGCTGTTATGTATGAGCGTCGTTAGTGTTAATAGAGTGTTAACGGCTTCTATGCCGTCCTCGATTCTGTCCAGGACGTAGGTGACGGAGGTGATGATGTAGGTAGAAGGTTGACGGAGGAGAGGAGGGAATGGTAAGTGGTTGCCATAGAGGATTCCTGGTTGCGTGTTGCTCGGCTACTACTAGCGCCGTGCTTCTGCTATTTTGCATAGAAAATGCATCAATTTTCGGCGCTTCCCACTCGCTACCCCCTCCCACCTTCCACCTTGCCACCTTCCACGATTTTGTCCCCCTACTGCGTCCCGCCTGGTCATCCCCACCCAATTTCCGTTGCGCACGACTCGCAACAACCCTCGTGCACGCTGCTCCGTATAATGTAAATCGTATCGAAGATAATTGATACCATGAACGCCTACTTCCCTGGAAATGCCCGTATACAATGGACGCTCACCTGTCCCGACTGTTTCCGTGGCATTTGTTTCCGTTAGCGATGATAGGCTCCGATTTGTGCAATAGAGATGCTCGAAATGTACACAATTACCGCGGGGTTTATGGAATTTCAAGCGTACGCATTGTAAAGGTGTTAAATGTAACTGGATGAATGAAATGAATCTCAACGAACGAACTTACAACCCGGAGACGCACGGATGACTTACTGTTTATTTAGCAATAATAATTACGGACACTTTATTATTTGCTTTAGTGGGATATATTTTTATTTATAACTGATGAGGAAATTTCTAATAATATTTAAATGCAGCTAAATTGGATTTTATTCGCTGAATCTTTTGATTGTTGCATAGTAAAATTTGGAAACGATATTAAAAAATTTTTATAAATACATTTATTTTTATAATAACTCGCAAAATATTTATTAGCCTATTCTCATGTGTAAATAATATTGTACTTTGGGTGGATCATTTGGTATTGCTGCGGAGAAGGCCGTTGGCTACATAACGTGTAACAGAACATAAATCAATAATATCGCTACCCCCTCTCCTTTCTTCCCTCCCCTGGGATACGCTTACTATCCCCGAACACCGTTACTGCTCTGCAAACCACCAAGCGACGCCGGCGTCTCTCTCGCAATCAATGATCATGTCTAAAGCATCACAAACAATATTTGATCTCTAGCACTCGACAATTAATACTTCATAGAAATACGTAGAAATACTTGAAACTAACTTCACAATTTATTGAATCTACTGATCTATTTTGGCTAAATTATGTATATTAAGTTATATATAATAACGTATATTTGTAAAAATCGTATAATTTATCATTATTGTTACATGTAACATTTAAAATATAAATATGCAAGCTGTGCAAAAATATTCAAACATCTTAAATATTTCTGTAATATTGATGTTTGATGCTTGATTAATGTAATATTACTCTGTCGATAGACATTTGCATTTGAAGACAGTGTTTATCTAGATGCTCATAAATCACACGATGCAAGGTTTAAACAAAAATATGTAGTTTAGTTAGGTTATTGCGTTCTAGAATTTTATCGCTTATAGTGATGTATACCTGACATTTGTCAAAACATTAATGCAAATTTATTTCGAGTCGGGGTACACTTCTACATGTTTCAGGAAGTTTGAGTCCGGACACGTCACTGATATAGAAAGGCTAAATGCAAAACCTTGTAAGGGGAGAGACTCGCGTACTCCGAGAAACTAACAAAACATCCTCGCAATTAGCCGGATGTCCCGATGACATCAGCGGGGCATCCCCCGGGACCGGCAACCGTGCTACGTAGCCTCGCGACAGGAATTTCGCCGCTGCGCTACCCTCCTGGCTTCGGTCCCCTACCGGTCTCTACCGGCCGTGTTACCCCTACCAAGCGACCGTTCGCGGCCTCTCAACGGGATTCTAGGTGACGACGCTGTGCTCTCTAACTACGAATATGCTAAATAATAAAAACTTATCAGATTTATGTCGTCCAGAATTGAACACGGATAGCAAGGAAACAGCAAGTGAGTTGCTGGTGGTGGGGGTGAAGATGCTCGCCGAACGAAATTGAAAAGTGATCGGAAGATATGCACCTAGACGAATACCGGTAGACAGACGAATACCAGTAGACAGACGAATGGCGCGGGAATGAGCAAGAGGCTGAAACGGGTAAACGAACATGAAAAACTGCGGCGCGAGGGCTAATAGACTGAAAAGTGTTTGTTCGACGGATAGACGTTTTTTTCAAACCTTTCGCCGCCCTTTTTCATCCGAGGTCATTGGGATGCATCGTACGTGAGATTGGCGCAGATACGTTTGCTTCATTGTTGTCTGTTAAAAATATCGCGACCTCGCAGATTCAATAAACTCACACGGAGTCGGAGAGTGACGTAAAATACTATTGTCCGATACTACGTCGAGCAAATTGAAAAATTTCTGCTTATATTTTTCTTTACGCTACATCGATAATGCTGCAACGTTACTTATTATTCAATGTCTTTCTAGGTAGCTCTCCTAATTCATATTTACTTCTTTATATTTTTTTAAATATTTTTGCAATGATGTTAGAAACGGAATAACAAAATATTTTTTTCTCATTTCAGGTCCAATTATATATTATTATGGATTTCAGCAGAAAAAGTAACCTCATCTGATGAAGTTTGTCAAGATACAGGATTTAACTAAAAATAAGATATATCACAAGGCATGATAAAATGCAATGTCACGGGATCGAGCATTCAAAATAGGTCATCTGGACAATTTCTTTATTCTTAGTGATAGAAATAATTGGCTAAGATCATTTGTTTCATTCCAAAAACATCGAGCAATAATATTGTTTCGGTTGTAGATCAAAAATCAAGGACACTTTAAGGCAATCAACTTTTTTTAATAAAATGTTTTTTATATAAATGAATTCTCGTCAATTTATGCATAAAAATATAATAAACTGCGAGTGAATACTTTATGAGATCTCATATTTTATTTTGATACATTCTGACATAAAAAATGAACCACCTCATAAAGTGTTCACATTTCATTGACCTTATCCGAATACTTTTATGTGTTGAACGGTTGGAAGGACTGATTGTGATGTGTCCGTTCTTAGCACATGTATGCACCAATGAAACTTCAACATGCAACTGCACTTTTTTTTAAGTACAGTCATGTATTTTTTAACGTCAATCGATTCTCCTGTATATTTGTTCACTCGAGGCCTTATTCAAAACTGGCGCCTTTTCAAGGAGACTGGCAACCATTAGACTACCCTCGTGACATCCGAGGTAGAGTATGATGGTTCCATCGAGTAGGTAGTGCCTAGACGGGGCTCCACCCAGCACTTAGTTCACGTCGTGACTGCGGCCCCGGGCACGACCGTTTCCAGGGTACAGTCACGCCCCTGCCGTGCGAGTACTGTACTCCCATTCGCTGGCCCATATCTCATCTGGTCCATCGCATTAGCCTAATCTGCCACCAACGTGAACGGAGAAAAAAAAATACGGCCATCAACGTTGCCACCGACGAGAGAAATCGTGGCGAGGTGCTGCCACCTTTGTGGAAGGATCGAGAAGTTGACCGGTTGTCGAATCGATTTTTTCCCACGAGCAACGCCGTCTCGCTTTCATTTCGGCTGGTAGTTCGATTTGGTTGTTTGTTCGTATATTACTGACGACATTGTTCCCTACGTTAATTCGCAATTTGTACTCATGTTGGTTCACGTCGGTCAGCAACCAGAATGTCTCTTGCTCACCATGATCGGAATGTTAGGTAAGAAAGTACTTTACTTGTACATGCCCTGTAAATTGTTATAACTAGCGTTGTACTTTAATTGGAACATACAGCTGTAACGAAATTTTACTCGGATATCGTTAATCTTGACTGAAACGTTTGTATTGTTACGATAGGTTACTGATAAGTCTTGGAGACATTAGACGAGTTTCTTGAATCTTATAAACTTATGTATACCTTAGCAAAAAGGTCAATGTTGTGCCGCAAATGGCAATTCATTTAAAGTTATAGAGATTGGAAATCAATGTATGAGTGCTAAAGAAGAAGTTGATGTTAAAGTCAGTTTTATCACTAATATTATTAGTTTCCGCTGTTACAGTATATCACCATCGTCGAACGCAGCATACTGTCATCCTGACCAGTTGCTATTGGCATAACATCTACTCGGGTGTCGCTGAATTGGTGAGTAATCTATGCATGAACAAGATATTGTAATGCAATAACGATAACGCGAGTTCTCATAAACGTCTCTGTCTCTTACTGTAATCATATTGGTTTATTTTCTTTATTAATGTTTAATTTCTGATTGATTTGGCGTTTTTATCGTAAAATTATATTCTAATGTTTCTTTAACTTTCACGCACGCGTTCGAAGTACGAATTTCTTTGCACTATAAGCCTGATGACTTAAGGCGTGATCGTTAGCGAAACTAATAAAGAAATTCGAAGAATTGTCTAGTAGCAGAATGACGTCATTAATACTGTATATCAAGAAATGCTTCGAAGCTTTTAGAACGTTAAGTGTATCACACTCTTAGGGCCATTGAATAAAGTCATCGACGAATTTTCACTTATCACTCATTGTACCAAAGTGCATATCCTCTAAAGCATTCTGTATCAATTGAAACAGTGATAAGAACGTTAGTTCTATTTAGCGAGCGATAACCTTCCATTTGTCAAGTCAGCAATGTAAACAATATTAGTGTTATCATAGCAGAGTAAATTTTTCACTTACTCGGCGATAATTCGCGCATAACCGTTTCGTGGAGTTGTTCTTTCTTGTTACATTAGAAATCAGAAAAATATAAAATATTCAATTAAACTTTATTCATAACCATCACGTTTATCACTTATTTTTTACGTTATATCATGTCATGCTGTTTTTAATCTTTTATAGCATAGAATCTTTAAAATTCCGCCGAGTTCACTTCCCTTAATTTACATTTCTTTTTTTTCAAACTGGAACATACAAACTCGAGTACCTATTGTTATTATTTGTCGGAAGTCAGTTTTGCTAAACGGTAAAGTTGTACTGTGGCGAGAATTGTGCATGCTGTTGCCTTGTTTCGCCGGTTTCATGCTGCCGTAGGCTGCTCTGAAACTTGCGCGGATTTATATTACGAGACATAAATTTTCGTTTATTTGAAAATACGTGACGCAAAGTCAGAAATCTGACGTATGTAGGAGATATATACTGGCAAGCTACGCTCTGTAAAGGAAAAAAAAAACGAGATGTCAGTCATGCCCACACAGGTGCGTCGAATATTGCACAATTTTTAGACATCATAAGTTGCTTTAATTTTCGAAAAACAGATCGCGATACACATAAGTATACACATTACACGACGTATTATCTATCATTATTGCAAAATTATCTCTCGCTACATCAAAAGGTCAAAAAAGCCTGATCTTAACGTGAAAGTAGAAAGTCTTTACAGGTCAACGTTACAAAATTACACGAATTAAGTTGACCAATTTGTTTCGCGCGATAATCTCTCATACATCGAGTGACTTTTTAACGTGTTTCGTATTCGCTTCTCTTTTTTCGATGATTTACAGTCAGCGGCAGAAAAGTTGCAACATTTTTTTCCCGACGAGTTTTGCAACGTATCCAATAACGGAATTCATATCCAATAACAGAATTTGTTATTTGGTAATTCTCGAGAGATTAATTTTTTTCATTCGACACAGGATGCATTCCAAAGTTGATCGAGGAGAAATGTTGCAATCTTCTTGTATCGATGATTCTACCACCGAAATATTATGAAGTTGTTTTGAGCTTCGAGTATATGATGTCTTCAGTTAGATTTACTTGTCCAGATTACATTTCGCCGTTATACGTTATATAATCATCATCTTAAAATTTTGAGACATTCTGTGACAAATTACAATATTATACTTCATGGAATATCTGATATTCACGTTTGTTCAAAATTTTTTAGATAATTTCCGTCTCGAATGTTACTTAATTTACGATCAATTTGTTTCTGACTAAATCTTCTTCTTAAAATGTAGACTTTCAATATTTTTGTTTACTATTCTATGATATCCCGCAAAATATATATTAAAAACGCAATAAAAACGAGAAAGACTTATAATGATTGCAAATTTAGAAGCATTTTGTTGCTTCCGTGTAAATTGTTTTATTAGTTGCAGTAATTACTTAACGGTAATAATATTGTCAAACAAGGGTAATCAATCTGTACATATTTGTTTCGCTTTTGATGAACCGGATACTTTGTTTACCTTTAGATCGATCATCAGACTCCATTGTTCCGTGATTGGGTCAATAATAATGTCGTTACATTTAGGCGTAGCACCTGTCGTAACAGTAACTTTGTTGTTGCACAAGAAAAGCGTAAGATTAATGATACTTTAATGATTACACGAACCGTTTTGAGGCACGGCCGACTGCTAAAACATAACTCAATTCCACATGACGGATATTGCCACCCTTTTGTAGAACTATTTATGTGATGTGTAATATGAGTTCGAAAACCTCTATTTTCATAAACACATGATAAATCGTTCTGTGTCGAGTAAACCTCGCGCTTTCGTAATGAAGTCATTTTGTAGCTAAATCGTGAAATCTCAAAGTAGATTGGATGATATTCGGAGGTATATATATTTATACAATGGGCAAATGTTGGAATTGTTAATGCGGGAGTGATTTTTAACAATAAAATAACATTCACTCTCCTGAAAAATAAAATCAAAGCATGTAGCATGTAATAACCTCATCCTATTCAAAATGATTTGATAAATTACGTACTGACGTCCCGCGGTCTGATTCCGACTGGTCCGATTGTCGAATGTCTTACGTCATAAAAGATATAAAAAAGAAAAAGAAGAGAACAAATGATTTCAGTAACGCCCGACGCCTCGCAGGCTTCATTATCTGTGTGTTATATCATTATATTTATTAAATTACCATTGAGAAATTAACATTGAGAAACTGCGGACTAAGCTATCAACTATGCCTCAAAGGAAAAACATTTTGTATCCCAGCAATTGTGATTCTCTGAAAGCTATACGGACTTCTAATGAATACTTCATAAATCTGTTTTGTGATTACGACATGTAGTTGCGTATCTTGCGCGGTACGTAATCAGATAACGTAGTTTACAAGCTATCTTGTATCTTTCATTTGCGTTTAAATTTTTACGGTTACGATTTCGCTGTTCAGATTCATCTTCGGAATATTCCATTTTCGTCAAAGAAAACGACGAATTGAGGCTGACTTTCTAATTTTGAGTACACGTTACATGTAATCAGACAAACATTTAGGGTCTTACAGTTCTTGTACGTCGTGTAAGAAGTTTACATCGCTTACATCAGTACATACAGCACGATATTTTTGATAATTAACAAAATACTGATAATAATAACAAAAAATCTGCGCGTGTGCATTCCTGATTATTAAAATACGCATTTAAGCACGCTCGATAGTCTTTGGGGAACGATTTCTATAGAAAGCGCGTGGTCTAATTAATATATTATTTTAATTATATTATTCTCATCACACAACGATTAACATAATATGATGAAAACTTTTTTATCGCCGTTCACATATCTCTCGTTTAGTATCTCTGCGTATTGACTAATTAAATTTTAAACTTTCTTGAGAGAAAGGCGCATTTAGATAAAAAATGCGTTGATTAAATTTACATTTGATATTGAATTTTGGTCGAGGGTAACAATTCATATCTATTGTATCTATTATTTCGTAGATTTACAGTCTAATATAATTACAAAAATTAAAATTAACAGCGAATAGCGCAGATAATATATCATATGTTTAAAAATTCCAATGTGAGAATCAGGATCGAACGTAGCGAGAAATATTGCAACGATGTAAAGAGAGTTTTACAAACGGTCATAAATGATTCTTATATTACGATCATTATTTCCACCTATTAAGAACAATATCTTCTTCTGTAATGTTCAGACACGTTCGGTTTCGCATGATTAATCCGTTTAATATTCGTGCCTCGATATCCTCGTATTTCTTCCGCGTTCATTGGCCTGTATCCACAAAAAGAGCTGGACAAACAATGACATTTAAATTAATAAATGCCTATGCTTTCATGACACGTATTAATCTATCATGCTACTATCTACAATTAATTCAATAACTTTTAATGTAAAAGTAATACTGGTAACACTGATTTACTTACCGAAGCAAAATTCTTAATTTTGAATTTTTTTACTATAATCTGATGTGTGTACTTTATCGTACCACCAATAATGCAAATAAAGTTTGTTCAATATTTAAATAAGTAAGTCATAAAAACATGACGGTTTATTCCGGTTAATTTCCTCCGACGGTAGAAATCAAAGCCCGAGTATCGTGTTTGTGGGAAAGTCTGAAAAAATGAATATATATATTATTGTTATTCTACCATTAAGCTATTATAGCTATTACACATAGTTAAACATTAAGAAATGTTAACATTTAATCAGTAATAATCATATAACTAGATAATATTGTCTTATTTCTAAAATAATCCAATTATTTTATTAATTTAACGAAATTATAAAATATTTGTTCCCGATACTGTACAATTAATTCTATTTATACTATTTTACTATTTCAAAATTCAATATTGTTTCCTTTTTCTTAGTAACGCAGAATTTTTATGTCTCTTCTAATAGTATATCAACATCAAATGTCAAAAATGAACATAAATTAAAGCATACTGGCAAAATACATTTTGTTACAACCGTAATATGATTAATAAAAAACCGGTTCAAGACCAAATTTATGTACGACATTCATTTGCCAGCTAGGGAGATCGGAGCTACTGAGCAGACAAACGAATCCAGTCGCATTCCTCGATGATAAATTTCATTTGTACTCAGCAGAGAAGGAAACGAGGTTTGATTCGTAAGGGTTGAATGGGATGCTGGGATGTCCATGTCAACGTGAAGTGATAAAGTGCCATACTGAGCTAACTAGTGTATCCGCTTTTGGTAAAGGACCATTCGGCGAATGAATTCTAATATCGCACACGGTATTTATTTGTATAATGTCTGCTGACGCGTGTTGCGACGAAACGCAGCGCGAATGTAGGAACGATAACTCAACTGACATTAATAATAACGTAAACCTCCAAATGTTTACAGACTTCCGCGACAAACACGAGTAGCGCGCGATAACGACCTGGTGATTTTAAATATTTA